TTTGTTATTTTTTCACGAAGGAAACAATTCTTTTGTCCTCGTAATTTTTCTTAATTTTAAGGTGAAACCAAAATTGAAAAGAAAACTGAATTCTGATAATTTACAGTTGCTTTTAATATTATTTTTACAATATTATTTACAAGCTTAATTTATATACAGGAACAGTTAAAATTGGCATCTTTACCAGGAATGGATCGTGGATACTCTCGAGGAGTATTCAAGAGAAACACTCAGAAAATGAGGCCGTTAATGTAGCCAGTATTTGATTAGATCTTTTGAAATTCCGAATATCATTTGTGTTAATGGCGTGAGTAAAAACCTCATCAGTACATTCCACGTTGCCACATAAAAAAAGCAAACATTCCCCGAAGTTAGATTGGATGATAGCCAAATTATCGATTTGATAATGAAGTCCCTTTTTTTTACCAACCTCACCAATTTTCTATGATTTTCCTTTTATTTTCTTAAGGATACCAACCTCATTAGCAAAAAAATTTTATTTTCGGGGAGGCTGGTTCGGATAATAAAATCTACATGTAGTAAATGCATTCACGAGGTAGGTTTTGGTAGCTATGTGAGGTATTCTGAAGAATTTGTCCCCACCATTCAGTGTATAAGATACACTTTTAACATTTCTGCATTGCGACTCTATCGAAGGATGTCAATCTAAAATCAACTGTACGCAATCAGTCAGTCGTAAATTGCTAGAGACGATAGAACAAATAAAGCGCAGGGCTATTAAGACTACAAACAGTTTGAGCTAATAACAAGGAGGTGAAAACTTAAGTGTCTACTGGTTCCATCTGAATTACATTTTGCTTATGGTGATAAGAGATTTCAATTCTGCGCCGTGTTTATTTGTATAACCATAAGCAGAAGTAAAATGCGCTTCAAGACAAAATCCTTATTAACTGCATGGAGTATGGAGTCCACACATTTTAACTCCGATTTTTGTGTGGTATGAACACGTTTCGATCACTCCATTATGTCTCTCTCTGCAGTCAGGATTGATAAACGTTCGAAGATCTTTAGCTCCTGCGCAATGAGCTGAGATTCATTCATTTTCAGTAGCCTAGCACATTCGGACCGCGTTAAGCATAAAGGAACCAAATCACATCGGCTATTGCCCAATTCAATCGGGCAATTTATATTTTGGACGAAACCGATTGTGCGGAGTTCTCTGCAAAGTTCATCGAATTTGTTACTAAGTACGAAGCAGATTCCTTAAAATTTTCAAAAATCCGCTCAATAATTCTCTTGTGAAAAATGAAATTGCTCAGTGAAAGGCAATAGCTTATGTGGCTTGGTTTCTCTCTGCTAAACGCGGTCCAAATCGCGCACCGTAGTGAACACACAATGCGTGAAGTATTCACGCAGTCTTGTAGGCGCTAATATGCGCCAAGCACGGGCCGTGATATTACGCGCAATGCGGGAAGTATTCATCCAGTCTTGTAGGCGTTAATGTGCTTTCCGCGCCACACTATATTTGGCGCGATTAGTTTACCTCGCGGAGTCAGTGTTTTTCAGGACTGATAAATGTTCGAAGATCTTTAGCTCCTGCGCAATGAGCTGAGATTCATTCATTTTTAGTAGCCCAGCGTATTCGGACCGCGTTAAGCAGAAAGGAACCAAACCACATCAGCTATTGCCAAATTCAATCGGGCAATTTATTTTTTGCACGAAAACGATTGTGCGGAGTTCTCTGCAAATTTCATTGAATTTGTTACGAAGTACGAATCAGATTCCTTAAATTTTAAACGGAATCCGTCCAATCTTTCTCTTGTAAAATATTGAATGACGCAGTTAAACTTGGCAATGACTGATGCGGTTTCGTTCCTTTCCTCTAAACACGGCCGATTTATCGGAATTCTCTCGAATTAAGCATTTTTGGTTTTTTTTTGCATATCAAGACTTTACCTTAGCTTTTACTTCACCACAATCCTCCGTAAACCTGCAAGGAAAATCGTCGAACGGCACTGATGAATTGAGATTTCGTCATACTGAAAAAAAACTCCGGCTTTGGAAGCCGTACTTACAGGCTATGCAGACGTAACGCCTACTTTCCTGGCTAAGAGGCCGAAACCTCCTGACATAGCACCCGGAGCAATCAAAGCCACGGCTCCAGCACCCGGAAATTCCGGCCTCTGAGCCCGGAACGGACAGTATGTCTATATAGCCCGTAGCTTTTTATTCAGTGCAGAGGAATAAAATTACGCGTATCCAGAGGAGTTGTTCTCGCTGTCATCCGTGTCAAAATTAAAGTTGTAGCCATCGTTGCTGGAGTCGTGAGAGGAGCCACCGCTGTGCGCCTCGGCTTGCCCGCCGAACGAACTCAGGTTCTCGCCGAAGCTGTTCGACTCCGGTCTCTCCGAGTTCTCCGTATACCTTCCGCTCTCGTGGCCACCCGAGCTGTTCTCCGGGTTCCCGAAGAAGTCCGACTCGGAGCTACCCCCAAAATCAGCCCCCGTCAGCGAACTGGCTTGACTGTTGTTCCCCGAGTTGTCAAACCCCGAAAACGTAGCCCCGAACCCAGGGAAGTTGTCCCCGTCGCTATGGTTGACCTCCTGCTTCCCGACGATGGGAATATGAAGAGGCACCTTCACTTCCACCGGGTAAGGGATCTTGATCGGAACCTTGATAGGCACAACGATGGGTTTCTGCTCCCAAGGGATCTGTCGCTCCACATCAATGGGGTACGGCCGCATTCCGGGCTGTGCGAAGGAGAAGGGTCTCTCGACCGAGAACCTCATCGGGAACGGAACCTTCTTCTCGAGAGGATGCGGACCGGGCTGGACGGGGAACGGCCCCTGCTGGATGGGGTACTTAACGCTGAATGGCACGTGCTTCTCCACAGGGTACGGGACTTTCCGTTCGATGTAGATCGGGAACGGTTTGGGAACGTGGATTGGGATGGGTTTGTCGACAGGGACTTTAACGGCAAAAGGAACGTGTTTCTCGACCGTTACCGGAACGGGGACCTGGACGGGGACTTTGACCGGGTAGGGCACCGGTTTATCCACGTGCACCGCGTACGGTTTCGGCACCGTGATCGGGACCGGTCTGTCGACGGGGACTTTGACAGGGTACGGGACTTTCTTTTCGACGTGGACGGGGTACGGCACGGGGACTTCCTTGGTGATGGTGATGGTCTTGACGGGTTCCCCGTTGGCGGTTTGACCGTGGCTCACGTAGCTCTGCGGGGGGCCAGGCGAGAAGCCGGAGAAGCTGTTGCTGTTGAGGGCGCTCGTTTGCGGGGCGTAGGCGTCTAAGGAGCTGAAGCCTTTGGGTCCGAAGCCGGCGTTCCGGTAGTAGCCGAAGCTCCCGCCGTAGTTGCTGTAGCTGGGGGCGTAGCCGTAGGTGTAGCCGGGGCTGAAGCGGTGGCTGCCCGGGTAGCCGTGGACGGAGGTG